GAAGTATGTAAACAAGGACTAGCAGATGTGACGTCATATTGTCTGTGAGTATGGCGCACTGTGGGTTACAATATTCTGTAAACAATAGAGAAAAGCATCATGTTTTAAAAAACAAGAATCCTGATTGGGTTGCGATGCAATGCTTTGCAGCCTCAATCCCAGGCTGTTTTTTCTTTTTCCTTCCCAAGGGAGTTAAAGGGGAGAGAGAGCCTGGGATCAACAGGTCGTCTGTATTGATATAGCCTGTTTATTGTATTGAGCCACCCCAGGTAGAGGAGGCCTTAGGCGTGTAGAGGGGGTTAGATAGAGCTTTTTTCCCAAATAAAACAAAACAATATTTATATCTGTGAATTGCAAAGGCCAACCCTGGTGAAAATCTTTACAGGATCTTTGAAGATCTTTGAAGATCTTCAAAGATCCTTAAAGACCTGCAAAGATCCTACAAAGATCCTCGAAGACAATGATCTTTTAAGGATCTTTTAAGGATCCTCAAGGATTTCATGAGGATCTTATAAAGATCTTATGAAGGTCTTTGACCCTGAAAACGCGCCATAACAGACAGAATAATATATTTCTCATAATGATTCAGTTGTTCGTTATCACATCCCATCCTCGTCTCTTTTGAGTCCCTCATCCAATAAGCTTCCCTGGTGAAAATCTTTACAGGATCTTTGAAGGTCTTTGAAGATCTTCAAAGATCCTTAAAGACCTGCAAAGATCCTACAAAGATCCTCGAAGACAAGGATCTTTTAAGGATCTTTTAAGGATCCTCAAGGATTTCATGAGGATCTTATAAAGATCTTATGAAGGTCTTTGCAAAGATCTTTGCAAGGATCTTTTCAAGGATCCTTCAGGATCCTCAAAGATTTCTTAAGGATCCTACAGGATCTTAAAAGGATCCTTTCAAGGATCTTTCAAAGATCTTTTTCAGGATCCTTCAAGGATCCTCAAGGATTTGACGAGGATCTTACATGGATCTTGATAGGATCCTTTCAAGGATCTTTAAAATATCTTTTTCAGGATCTTTAAGGTTCCTCAAGGATTTGATGAAGATCTTACAAGGATCCTTTCAAGGATCTTATAAATATCTTTTCCAGGATCCTTATAAGATCCTCAAGGATTTGATGAGGATCTTACAGGGATCTTTATAGGATCCTTTCAAGGATCTTTAAAAGATCTATATCAGGATCTTTAAGGATCCTCAAGGATTTGACGAGGATATTAAGAGGATCCTTTCAAGGATCTTTCAAAGATCTTTGTCAGGATCCTTATAAGGATCCTCAAAGATTGACAAGGATCCTTTCAAAGATCCTTGAAATGATCCTACAAAGACCTTTTCCAATATTATAATTGGAAAACTTGGCCAATTTTTTCAAGCTATGCCTATTTAACCACTATTTAAAACATTACATAGCCCAGGGTATGTAAAGCATATGTTGAAACTACGCCAAAGGTGAAACAGAAAGCTATCTGAAAATCACAGTCTACATGTATAAATATCTATGTTAACACTATTTCATAACATATCATAGCTTTAAAATAGCTATTTATTTTCTATGCAATGTATAGTCTTGCTTTTGGTTCTGAAATACATAGTAAATACATCCTAAGTGGCAATCTAAAACAAAATACAAAGATTACATAGCTTTTACATATGCTATTTATTTTATATGTAATGTACAGTGTAAATTATCTGCCCACTGAGGGAAGCTTCCATTGACTAGTAGCTGATATTCAGTTTTGCTAATGAAAAAATTCATTTCAAAGAAGACTTTTTAATGCTCAATGTTGAATAAAGAAGAGAATGTATGCTTACAAGCGCAAGCGATGTTTTGAAGTACTTCTCATCTTTCTCGCAATGAAAATCCGTTCTTTTCCAACACTATAAGAGTTAAATTGTCTTGGAATCGCCATGCACTTCTGCAAATGATTCCTGAATACTTTTTAGCCTACTACAGGCTTCTAAAATGAGTAAAAATGCTTGTCTGTTATATGAAACCGCCATCTTGGATTCAATACTGAGAAGACCCTGGGAACGAGTGTTAATCTACCATAATGCTCCAGTAGTAACAACAACGATTCAAAACGTCAACGGACCGTTCAACGATCAGTGCAAAGTATTTTCAGTCTTTTCAGTGAGAAAATGAAATGCCCATGGAATGATGTTTAAAACGCCACAAAATCAAGAGCTTTTACTTCAGAGAAATAAAGTAAGTTCAAATAATCACAATGGCCTCTTGAAGTTGCTTGCTTGCTTGAAGTTGCTTGCTCAGCAGTGTGATCGTTTGCATGTTGTCAGCTTACAAGTTTGACTAGCCTGAGATCAGGCTCCTGAAGAAAATTTGCGAGCGAAGCGAGCCGAGTCGCTGCCTGGGGCGAGAACGAAAGCGACGGAGCCTGAAGACATTCCTTTGACGCCGCCGATCCATGATACCAGATTCTGGTATCATGATCTGATTGGTCATTTTGCTTAATATTGACAGATTCGCGGGGAATGATGACAGATGTTGACAACACAATGTCACGCGTTGTTTGTTGAAGTTGAATACATGTACAGGAGAATTGAGCAAGCGTTACGGAATTTATTCTTTGCCATCAGATATTTCAGATATCCTCGGCTCAAGGAAGAGCAAAAGATATGCCTAGAATCTGTGGCAAAAGAGCGCGATGGAATTCTCCAGCCTGGTTTTGGCGAGAGTTTAACCTCGGGTGGAGATTAGAACGATCTGCTGTTCTAATTGTGTCGCCGTTGCAGTTTCGATAATGAAAGACCAAGTCGAAGAGTTGTCCCGTTTAGGCCTGAAAGCTGAAGTTCGAAATGGAAGTATAAAAACTGTCAAAAAATGGACATGGAGCCGGTTAGCCGGCGATCTTTTGCGTTGGAGTCCTTTCATTTGCGAAGAGAAAATTACGGCTGAAAATTGAACATTCAACAGACGTAGCGTTGGCTAAAATTTCATACTTGCATACCGGCGTATTACGGTAATTTTCCGTCTTCACCGCTTTATACGCTTACTTTTAGCAATTTTTACTTTCAAGCTTTTTTTTTTTTTTTTTTTTTTTTTTTAAGCTTGTTTTATGGGTAATACTTGAAATGCAACGATCATTTTTGCCGTGGGAAATAATTTATTTAACCATTCTAGTTTAACAAGAAGTTAATTTTGGAAACACGCCAAACACTCCAGGTGACTTGTTGACATTTTATAACAGGACTAATTACTGGAGGGCGGATTGGCGGCATCAAAGGAATGTCTTCAGGCTCCGTCGCTTTCGTTCTCGCCCCAGGCAGCGACTCGGCTCGCTTCGCTCGCAAATTTTCTTCAGGAGCCTGATCTCAGGCTAAAGTTTGACGTGCAAGAAAGCAGAGTGCTACTTCATTTGTAAATTGCTCTTAAATGTAGCAGTCTCTGTCAGAGGAAGAGGCGAATACAGCTGTTTATAGATCTGATTTTACTGATCACATGTTGCTTTGTGTTTTTGTTGTAGTTCAATTGAGGCAGAAATGCATATCCTTGAAGTATACACAGTCACTACAGGGAACAATATGTTTATAAAGCTAAGTGAAAAGCAATCATCGAACATCATGAGTGATACTTTGAATATTTTCTATCCCAAGTGTGGATATACATGTATGAAGGTTTTCAAAAATGTAAATGTGTTACAAAAGGAAAACCTACAATTTCAGTGAGTAGAATAAAATAAATTATGAACAGAAGCTTGATGTTTAAGTTGGTCTTCAATCTGGTGTGCCCTACATGTAGTACACTGTACTTGATGTCTGAGTGTATAGACATTGACAGCAGTAAAAAACTAAAGTAGGAATTAATACATTCAACTAATAAAGCATTTGAAATTGAAACATCGACTGTCTGTAGATCTTTGAAGATCAACAAACTTTGTAAGATTACATAAGTATGAGCATCATATTGCATAATTCTTGGAGGAACTTGATATGCAATTAGTCTAATAAACCTTTTCAAAGATCTATGAGGACCTTGCAATTAGCCCCCAGATCTTTTCAAGAATCCAAAAGATCCTTGAAGACAACAGAAGATATTTGTAAGATCCTTGAAGATCTTTGACAAGGTCCTTAAAGATGTTGGCAAGATCCTTGAAGATCTTGATAATATCCTAAAAGAGCCTTGAAGATCTTGACAATATCCTCGACGATCCCTGGAAAAATCCTTGATGATCTTGACAATATCCTCGAAGATCCTTGGCAAAATCATTGAAGATCTTTACAAGATCCTTGAAGATATTGCTAATATCCTAAAAGATCCTTGAAGATCTTGACAATATCCTCGAAGATCTTAACAGGATCCTTGAAGATCCTTGGCAAGATCCTCGAAGATCTTTGAAGATCCTTGAAGATCCTTGGCAAGATCCTTAAAGTGGCCATAACCTTTTTATTTTATTTTCTCATCTGAATCTAAACATCACCCAAGGAAATTCTGCGAAAAAAATTTGCGATTTGCAGAAAACGCGAATTGTTTATGAATTTTATAAAACTTTCAAATTTGCCGCCATTTTGGATCACCATTTGCTTTAGTTTCCCCTGGGTCCTTCTCGGTTCACAAAGGATCTGTGACGTACATTAAGGAACACGTGACATCAGACAAAGGAACTGTGACGTAGATTAAGGAACACGTGGCTTCAAAACAATGGAATTGTGACGTAGATTCAGGAAAATGTGAGCCCGTCGGCCTTCTTACAGCGGGACGGGTATACCAAACAAAAATAGGATTTTGAAGATTTGAAACACTCATAAAAAATTCGCGTTTACTGGAAATCGCAAAATTTTTTCGCAGAAATTCCTTGCAATGGGTAATGTTTAGATTCAGATGAGAAAAAAAAAAAAAAGGTTATGGGCACTTTAAGGATCTTTATTAAGATCCTTAATAGGATCCTCAGAGATCCTTGTGAAGATCTTAAAGGATCCTTGAAGATCCTTGAAATATTTTCACCAGGGCAGTGAAGCTACTCGGAAAAAAAATTCCGAGTTCCCCCAACAGGAGTCGAACCTATGACCTTCCGCACACCGGTCGGACGCTCTACCACTGAGCTACAGGAGGTGGGGGCTAAGGCCATACAACTATGGAAAGCCAAATGGTGCAAAATTCAAGAAACAAAAATAGCTTCACGTTCAACAAACTTCCTTTCAACGCCAAGAGATATTTCATTCAAGCTCAACAAAATCAATTCATATTCAACAAGTTTCTTTCAAGATCAAGAAATATTATTTCAAGATCAACAAAATTAACGTTCACGATCAACAAAATTGAAATCAATTCACATTCAACACGGGCAAGTTTCTTTCAAGATCAAGAAATATTATTTCAAGATCAACAAAATTAACGTCCACGATCAACAAAATTGATTCACGTTCAAGTTCAACAAATCAATTCACATTCAACAAGTTTCTTTCAAGGTCAAGAAATATTAAGATCAACAAAATTAACTTTCACGATCAACAACTTTCTATCGTTGTCAACAATCTTCCAAACGCTGTCAACAAAACATCTCGTCCCCAGGGCCTTCTCTGCGAAGAGGGTATCTGTAAAACGAGGACCGGATGGCTGCGGATGGCGGATGGGAAAACGCGGATAGAAAAATGAGGATGGAAAAATGTGGATAGAAAAATGCGGATAGAAAAAGATATATATAAAAAAATAAAATAAAAATAATGAAGATACGTTTAAGAAGGAAAAAAAGTAAAGAGGGGTCAGAAATCATCATTTCGAATATTAAGCATTTTCCATAAATTAGATTTTGAGACCTTGTATAGCTAACAGTGTATTATTCCGAACAAATAATTATAAAACAAGAAATACGAGCGCATTATTTTTGAAGCAGTGACGGGGGATAGGGGAGAAGGATAATACTATTGATTCGGGAATTATTCCGGTATTACAGTTCTAATTTGAGAAGTTATTAGATTTTGCGACTTAAAATATAACTGAGTAGAATAGAGTAGTAAACGGAAGACACGGATTAACTCGATTTTAGCCAAGAAACTGGCCTGTGCTATGTGAAATTAACTTTCACGATCAACAAAATTGAGTGAGTTAGTGAGTTCAGTTATTATTGCATATTTGTAAGCGCGTTGAGATTTTTAAACGCGCAGAAAAGAACTTAATTATTATTATTATTATACATCGTACGTTGTTTTTGACGAATTAATCATTCTTTGCCTTGGAAGAAGGAGGGTTGATAACCAGGATATCCCTCCAAGCATAATATGTTTTAAAACGCATACTTCCGAGCCGTGACGCTAAAAAAGCATTATACGCGATCGTTCGAGCAAACGGTAGCAAACCCAATGTAGGTGGTCTTGAAATTGATGAAACATTCTTTGATCTATTATACACAGGATACAATGTCCCCTTATTTTAGGGTCTGAGTTACAGTGTTGCGTTACATAGAGGAAAATCTCTGACCTCTCTGTGAACGACGTGTCACATCTCCTATGCAACACATTTTCGTTGTTTTTTTCAGTAGCATTAGCTCTGTTTCTAGGAATGTGTAAACTCGATTTAATATTCCGGTGTGTTAATAAATTGTTTGATTTGCATGTGAATTATCACTTCAAAGCGAGTTATCTTTCTTGTGGTATTCTTTGGGAGGCAGGCGGCCGATTGATAACCTTAGGGACTGTGCAATAATTACCAGGAGGGGGCCGGGGGAGGGGGGGTGGGGGGGGGGGGGTCGTACATAATTTCTGACTGATTAGAGGGAGGGCAATATCTAAATTCACTCCTTTAGGAGGGGGGGGTATTACCTAATATTTTCCTCCATGAGGCCCATTTTCCAACCCCCCCTCCTGATAATTATTGCACAGTCCCTTACCCAAGAGTATAAGTATACGTAGTTTTTGCCTTTATGTGATTTATGTCTCTTTTGGCATCGATTCACATTTTTCTTCACATAGTCTGTTCGTAACGTTACCTGAATACGATTTATGTATTCATTATAATCCCCCGGGTATAATCCCCGCCATATCTCCCAGTTATGCGCACCCTCACTCCCCTATTTTGTCAGCTCATAACCGTGTGACTGTGTCGGTGGTTTTGATATCTGATGTTTACGATATATCAAACACTCGAGACAGTGTCACATGTCACAGGCCAGTCAGTCTTGGCTAAAATCGAGGTAATCCGTGTCTTCCGTTTACTACCCTTTTCTACTCACCTGTAATACCGGAATAATTCCCGAATCCATAGTATTATCCTTCTCCCCTATCTCTCGCCACTGCTAAAAAAAATAATGCGCTCGTATTTCTTGTTTTATAATTATTTGTTCAGAATAATACACTGTTAGCTATACAAGGTCTCAGCATCTAATTTATGGAAATGCTTGATATTCGAAATGATGATTTCTGACCCCTCTTTACTTTTTTCCTTCTTAAATGTATCTTCATTATTATTTTTTATTTTTTATATATATCCTTTTCTATCCGCATTTTTCTATCCACATTTTCCATCCTCATTTTTCTATCCGCGTTTTCCCATCCGCCATCCGCAGCCATCCGGTCCTCGTTTTACAGATACCCTCTTCGCAGAGAAGGCCCTGGGGACGAGATGTTTTGTTGACAGCGTTTGGAAGATTGTTGACAACGATAGAAAGTTGTTGATCGTGAAAGTTAATTTTGTTGATCTTAACATTTCTTGACCTTGAAAGAAACTTGTTGAATGTGAATTGATTTTGTTGAACTTGAACGTGAATCAATTTTGTTGATCGTGGACGTTAATTTTGTTGATCTTGAAATGATATTTCTTGATCTTGAAAGAAACTTGCCCGTGTTGAACGTGAATTGATTTCAATTTTGTTGATCGGTGAACGTTAATTTTGTTGATCTTGAAATAATATTTCTTGATCTTGAAAGAAACTTGTTGAATATGAATTGATTTTGTTGAGCTTGAATGAAATATCTCTTGGCGTTGAAAGGAAGTTTGTTGAACGTGAAGCTATTTTTGTTTCTTGAATTTTGCACCATTTGGCTTTCCATATACAACTAGCTATAGGTTCATTGGATCATTATCATTTTCAAACGTAGGTTTGGATAGCCTGCGTGCAGACGTCTCCTTTTCCTTGCTTCTCGCGGAAAAGTGACGTCTGCGAAACGGCGTTCCTAATCGTGTTCCATTATCCCGCTGTTTCTCCAGAATTCGGGGACCGCGCTCTGATTGGTTTGCTTGACAGTAGGCATTGTTTAGAATCAACTCGGATTGGCAATCGTCCGAAATACTCAAGATAATTTATGCTGCACGGAGCTAAAAGATGTCGGCAATGTTCGGTGATGTCGTGTGATTGTGTGTTGTGTTTTTCGCCGATCGTGAATCATAATGACAAACAAATCTTAATCAATGTCGCGGAGAATTTAAAGATTATGAAGAAATCATTTATCTGCAGTTTACAATAACTTGCGAAAAATCGAAGAGGAACTTTTAAATGACTACAGTTCTAAAGCTTGCAGGGCAGGAGTGACAGTTACTGTAAAGAAGAAGGCCCAAAACACTTGGAAAGGACAGGGTGGAAACATCGGCTTCTCCCGAGAAGCGAATTATTTTGGACGAATCGTAACAGTCGAACTTGAATATCAACCGTGAGGATTCTGTTAAAACACTGGACAATTCGCATTGTATTACTCCTGTTAGACCTAACAATATATTTTTCGCGACCTTCCCGTCGCGCGTGACTCGCGCTCCACGCTCGCCTCGCGCTCGCCTAAAAAACGCAAAAAAATAACGCCTGTTCCGCAGGCTAGTGATCTTGAAGCGATCAGATCAAGATCCTGCCTCTGTAAATACGGTAAACGTAAATAAAACTGTGAAGTTAAATTTATGCGAAATTTAAAACCCGAACAGCAGGGTGCTGGAACACGATTAGGAACGCCGTTTCGCAGACGTCACTTTTCCGCGAGAAGGAAAAGGAGACGTCTGCACGCAGGCTATGGTTTGGATTACTATTAGAGAGGGGGTTCGATTTTACGAAAATTCGTGAGTGACGAATGACGTTTCAGCTACAACGTCATGTCACGCAATACATACAGCAAATGACACTTCACTTCCGCATCACATGGCATCATGAACGAATGATCTATCAATACGCTTAAAACAGGAATCCTTTATAATCGTACAGCCAAGGACATATTTCAATGTTTCCTACCCAGATACTAGACATAGCTTACTTTACGTAGTCTATTTGCTATATTAATTGGGTATTCACAATATTCATCATTGTGTTTCAGTTCAGGAATGTTTAGATCTATTGTAGCTATAAATAAAAGTTATTTGAATTCTTCAACTCTGAATATAATATCTCACGGCTGAGTCATGATGATCAACTTTATGAAACTTGGTTTGTCATCTTAGCAAAGAACTCGGAAAGGAGATAAAGGTGAAACTTATGATCAGCAATGCATTTAATATTAATGCATGTTTCCCGGGATGTTTACGTAAGCTCGAATGCTCAATTCACAAGACGATAATCATTTCAGCGACATGTACATATTTGTACGACAGATATTTGTGTAGATTAAAGACAGTTTGATAAGCAATCGGTGAAATACACGAAAACGAACTATAAATTGCGATAAGAAACAATTATATCAGAGAGCATTCCCAGTCTTCATAAGCACAACAAACGGCACGAACTGAGTGCCGGAATCATAGTGTATAGTTACGCAGTTTATGGCACTCGATCTGTCTCGTTTCTCCCAAATATTCCGACATTTCAACATTACATTTAGTTCGATAGAAAGCGTGTAAAAATGTCTAAATCTTACCAGTTAATCAGCAGTGATCCATATTGTGTTCTCCGCTTTCAGAATAACAGCTTCCTGTAGAGATGACTCAGTAGGTATAAAGTCGTGCTATAATTCAGTCACGCAATATTAAATTTAATATCGTCACGCGTATTGTCACGGACGTTGCATTCGGTTTTAACAAAATATAATTTACGTAGCACGATGGTCATTCGGTAGCCCGGTAGTCAGTTTAGATGTGCAATCGTATAGCTATTTATTTTCATTTTTGGCAGTCCAGGTGTTTAGTGATTGGCAAAAAATAATAATAATTTCC